CAAGGAAAAAATTACATGTAGATTGATCCGAAAAAGACGGCAAAAACCTATTGCTAATGATTATTGTCACCAATGTAGAACGTTAGGTGTTAATTAATGTATATAATCGCTTACACTTTAATGTAAATTCTCCATCTGTGGTTCCAAATGTTTGACTCAAGTCCGAATCAAACGGCGCATAACAGTCCATGATAGTTAATGATAGTTGTACATGTATGTGCGGCCCTAAAGAGTAGTGTTTTTCAACCGTCTTGGTCATAAATGGGGTATCGAATTTTAGCCATTTTGGTTATAAATAGGATATGGTTTTTGCACTCTAGTCTTGACATGGGTATGTTTCTACGAAGCAGCTACATTTTCATCATAATTGATCAGACCATCAACAAAAGCCCTTCAAAAATTATCTTTACGGCGATTTAACGGTGGCCTGAACTAGGGAACTAATTGTAAGGCAGGTCTGTCAAAAATGGGGTTTCGAATTTTTGGTCAGGTCATAAATAGGGTAGAGAAAATCGCAGATTTTGGTCATAAACAGGGTAAGGGTTTTGGGAAGCGGGCCGCATACCCCCGTAGATTTGGATGATTTCCAGAACGTTTGTGGACAAGGCAAGTATTCTCTCTTAAATGCCGTGGATAAAGCTCTGAACAGTAGCGGAGTTCTTCCTACAACCCAGGCCCCTCCCGCGACAACCAAGCCCACAGACACGCCCACAGATAAACACACAGACAAGCCAACAAATCCTTTTACTCAGCGGCCAGCCACTGAAACAAACGCACCCTGCCAAACAGCCAAACCTACCACAGCTCCAACACCCACCCCTCTGTTTACTGGATAGCCTCAGCCACAAGTTGCCCCAAAATGTTTTAAAAGTTGCCTGAAGCTGCTGGACTTTAAGAAAGTTGTTCAAAAGTTGCTCGTTAAGTACAGCGCACAACGTTTCTTACTGCTCTATTCCTCTGGAATTTTCGTTTTGAGTGTTGAATTTTCTGGTTATTGCAGCGTTTTCAGGCTTACTGAAATTTGCTCCAAGCTGTTCGGCTTCTCTGAGAGGATCGTTTTCATTCGAGGAAGAGTTGGAAATTTCTTCCTCTGAACTATCAGAACATTGTAAATATTATCTTTGACATTAAAGATCTGAAATTTTCTTATAAGGATACATTTAACAGTAACATAGGACACTGCAACTCCCATAATTTGGTTGAAATTTAATCACGTTGCCCCCAGAATCAAAAGTTGCTCAAAAGAGCAAAAATTAATAAAATAAATAGTAAAAATTACTTATATTGCGTCTTTTAGCATGCAATGATCAAAGGCGCATTACATCATGAATTTCGAAAATTATATCAAATTCTTAAAAGCTAATTTAAAAACGTACGTTTTGAGTAAGAAATCAAACTGTTGAAGTTGCCAAAAAGTTGCCGAGCAACTTGTAGCCGAGGCTGCTACTGGAAGTGTAGATATGTCCATGGAATCACATCTTCATCTTCACTTTATTTTGCACTTAATATTTTGAAATAACAATATTAGCATAAACGAGCAAAAAAGATACATATATATATAGTTTGTGCATGGAGGCTAATGAAACCGCGAGGTTATCGAGTTAGCTTCCATCTCGTTTGAGTGAACATAAGAAAACATGGGAGTGGAAGGACGGATTACTAAAGGAAAGAGCTGGAAAAATTGTGATGTATGTATGTATGTATATGTATGTAACTTATCTTTGATATTGCTGAGATAGAACATAGTTTTTAATACTTTTGTGTTTAGTGTGTGTTAATTCTGGTGATCTATCACTTGGCTGGAACTTTTGACGGGGGATTTTCTGGGGAGTAGAGGATGGGTAATGTGTCTGTTGGAAGGGGCTTTTTACATGGGAATCAGCTGGCAAGTATGAAACTAAGTGGCGTCTGGCTGTTCCATAATCAAAATATGTGGATAGTAAAGCGTAAAATAGCAACTCCTCTTTAAAAGGAGGAGTTGCTATTTTATTTTGTCCAAAACTCTTAATTTTTTCCTCATTCTTGTGTTTCCTTGCAAAACACGTTCTCCTACAAGCTAAACAAGAACCGTTCATTTTTAGAAAAAAAAAACACTATAAATGTTATAAAGTTTACACGTTCTCTTATGGGGAAAAGGGAAAGAGGATAAATTGAATGAGGTTAAAACCTGTTTATGAATAATGTGTTCCTGAAATAATATTACTGCAAGACGATATTGTCACTACGAAAGTGAGGGAAATCTTTCCAGTAATAAATCAACTTAAATGGTTCGATGCAAGTGAAAGGTTAAAATCATTTTGTCCTCGTCCAATGTGAGTGTAAGTCAGTCTATTTCGGTTCTTTGCGAAAAATCTTATGCAGTGTCCTATCAAGAGGTGTATGTTCGCTGGACAGCATTGCCACGACGGTATGCCCGGGGAAAGCCTCGCATATAACAAAGATCGGGGTTCTTGTCTTACCTTTTAGTGGTTAAAACACCGGGTTTGGTACCTGTTAGGCAGTTCAGCCTCAAAAGGTCCCACAGAAGGAGATTTCGCAGTACTTTTAAGAGTATTGAACTAAAAAAAGTCAGTGCAAGTTAATGTGTTGTTTTAGAGTTGTTTAGGGGTGAAAAAGATTTCAAGCCACGCCCACAAAACAGGGTCTTGGTACCTCTTAGGGGTTCTATTCAAGTTTCCGACGAGCGCCCCTGTCCTTTTTATGTGGGAGTCCCCCCCTGGCATTATGTCTCTATTTTAAAAGATTGATCTTAGTTGTGTGTTGCAGGAAAATAAGGACTCATGTAATAACAACAGAAGCATTGCTTAAACAGCTTTTATTCCACTGCTCCGATTGCATTTACCCATAAAGTACTGATCATTTAGGCTAATAACATTAACTTAACGACTACTTGACGAAGTAAGTTGATCGATAACAATTTTATTCTCGTCTCTTGATTCGGAGGCAGCAGTATTGGGTGACTTATCGCTTCGCATTATGGACAGCTACAAAATGAACAACACATTACCATTAATTACCGGAGTAAATCACTTAGCAATGTGGAGTTAAACAAACATTTGGGTCATATTTGATACAGTTTGTCAATTTCCACTTAAAAGCGCTATTTTTCTATATCTGTAAGGAACAGGTAATGGAGTACTGAACCGACACAATGCATGAAAGTACATCCAAAAAACACATCATTGCATATTTTTTAGCAATCTGATCATACTAACCATACAAGCAAAAACAGTCAGGAACAGACCAACTGACTGCAAGAATTTGTCATGGCATTTCAATGAACGAGATCTTTCCATGACAACTATATTTGTACATGCAGGTTTTTCCAATTTG